GATTCTAAGTGTGGTGTTGATGATTATGTGTTTGTCTGTATTGTGTGTCTCATACATTGTTTAGTGTTGCTTTTTATTGTAAACCGCATTGAGTCGCCGCCTCAGGCTGATATATGCGGTATACAAATAGAGTAAATAAATAATAAATAAATATTACAAAGACTGTGTAGATATGTTGCACTGCTGGTTTGTATGTGCAAGCATTGCCAATTTTGTTTCATCTCTGCAAAGTAAAGAGAGTAAAGATTTTCTGTTTACTTTGACTATTGGTCTGAGACTATTTTGCATCTGGGGTTTTGAGCGTTAGGTTGCTGGAATAAAACACGCACCGTGTTACAGAATCACCCCAGTTGAGGGTTATCTTTGAGACCTAATAGGTTTGATTCCCCAACCCTAACGACGGCAAGAGGGAAACCCCCCACTGCACCCCCCCCCCATGGTTCCCCTCCCCTTGCAAATAATGTCAGCAGCAGAGGTGACCCCCCCAGACCGGTCCGTGAGCCTGATTATCTTCCAGGGCAAAGTCCATAAGTGTCTCTGAAGGAGACCTATCCCCTGGACATGCACTGTCTTCCTTTGCAGCAAGGACATGGGTTTTCAGGCGGAAGGCAGTCTGAAAAGGGCTTGCTCGACACACTACAAAAATGGGGAACAGATGGCCAGGCGGAGAGGGAGGGGTGCGTGGAGAGGACCTCGAGGGAGGCCTCACTCACGGGGGTCCCATCCAGGTGCAGCGCCTGCAAGGCTCCCAAGTGCCGCAAGGTAGAAACGTCCGTAAACTGGGTGGGATAGAAGGGAGGAGAGGGGCAGAGGTGAAGCAGCAGAATTTGAAAATGCCCCTCCTTTTCTGCTCTGGGGGGGGCAGGGGGCGGGGCAGCCCTCCCTCCTGTCAGAAATATTAAAAATTAACTGGGCATTTTTGATTTCAAAAGTTGTGAGTCAAGCGCTGAAATAATTAGTCGGCCGAAGCCTGTTAGAGTTAGTGGCCTAAGGCTAGTGTTGTTCTGAGGAGTTGGCAGAAGCCTGTTAGAGTTAGTGGGCCAAAGCTGTTGTCATCCTGAGGAGTGTGAGGTAAACCTCAGTGTGAGCGAAACTTTGGTGAAATAAGGCCCCAGGTTAAAGGCCTTGTGTCTAAAGCTGTGTTTAAAGCTTTGTTCTGAGGAGAGTGAGTTGGCCGAAGCCTGTTAAGAGTCAGTGGGCCAAAGCTATTGTCATCCTGAGGAGTGTGAGGCTAACCTCAGTGTGAGAGAAACTTTGGTGAAAGAAGCCCCAGGTTTAAGGCTTTGTGTGTAAAGCTTCTGGGTAATTTCGATGCGAGAGCGAAGCTGTTTATCTCTATGACGAAGAAGCCCAGCATGGAAGCAAAGACGGAAGTATAAAGGACGTTACTTGTGTTGTGGAGACCTTGTAATTGTAAATAGTGCTTCCGATGGGAGAGATCACATTTGTTTGTGTGTTTTGGGTCTTTTTATCACTTTGGGTTACTGGTCCTGGGTAATAAGTTACTCTGCTGCACAATTATGAGGATCTGCGCAGTCTTCCTTTCGCAGCGAGGACATGGGTTTCCAAGTGGAAGGCAGTCCGAAAAGGGCTTGCTTGACGCTCTACAAAAATGGGGAACGGATGGCCAGGCAGAGAGGGAGGGGTGCGTGGAGAGGACCTCGAGGGAGGCCTCACTCACGGGGGTCCCATCCAGGTGCAGCACCTGCAGGGCCAAGTGCCGCAAGGCTGAAACGTCTGTGATCTGGGTGGGAGGGAAGGGAGGAGAGGGGCAGAGGTGAAGCAGCAGAACTGGAAAATGCCCCTCCTTTTCCACTCTGGGAGGCAGGCGACGGGGGGGCAGGGGGAGCCCTCCCTCCTGTCAGAAATATTAAAAATTAACTGGGCATTTTTGATTCCAAAAGTTGTGAGTCAAGCACTGAAATAGTTAGTCGGCCGAAGCCTGTTAGTGTTGATGGGCCAAAGCTATTGTCATTCTGAGGAGTGTGAGGTAAACCTCAGTGTGAGAGAAACTTTGGTGAAATAAGGCCTCAGGTAAAAGGCCTTGTGTGTAAAGCTGTGTGTAAAGCTTCTATGTGAAGCTCCTGTGTAATTTCAATGTGAGAGCGAAGCTGTTTATCTGTATGAGGAAGAAGCTCAGCATGGATGCAAAGAAGGAAGTATAAAGGACGTTACTTGTGTTGTGGAGACCTTGTAATTGTAAATAGTGCTTCCGATGGGAGAAATCACATTGGTTTGTGTGTTTTGGGTCTTTTTATCGCTTTGGGTTACAGGTGCTGGGTCACACTGCTGCTAATAAGTTACTCTGCTGCACAATTAGGAGGATCTGCGCGGTCTTCCTTTTGCAGCGAGGACATGGTTTTCCAAGTGGAAGGCAGTCCGAAAAGGGCTTGCTCGACGCTCTACAAAAATGGGGAACGGATGGCCAGGCAGAGAGGGAGGGGTGCGTGGAGAGGACCTCGAGGGAGGCCTCACTCACGGGGGTCCCATCCAGGTGCAGCACCTGCAGGGCCAAGTGCCGCAAGGCTGAAACGTCTGTGATCTGGGTGGGAGGGAAGGGAGGAGAGGGGCAGAGGTGAAGCAGCAGAACTGGAAAATGCCCCTCCTTTTCCACTCTGGGAGGCAGGCGACGGGGGGGCAGGGGGAGCCCTCCCTCCTGTCAGAAATATTAAAAATTAACTGGGCATTTTTGATTCCAAAAGTTGTGAGTCAAGCACTGAAATAGTTAGTCGGCCGAAGCCTGTTAGTGTTGATGGGCCAAAGCTATTGTCATTCTGAGGAGTGTGAGGTAAACCTCAGTGTGAGAGAAACTTTGGTGAAATAAGGCCTCAGGTAAAAGGCCTTGTGTGTAAAGCTGTGTGTAAAGCTTCTATGTGAAGCTCCTGTGTAATTTCAATGTGAGAGCGAAGCTGTTTATCTGTATGAGGAAGAAGCTCAGCATGGATGCAAAGAAGGAAGTATAAAGGACGTTACTTGTGTTGTGGAGACCTTGTAATTGTAAATAGTGCTTCCGATGGGAGAAATCACATTGGTTTGTGTGTTTTGGGTCTTTTTATCGCTTTGGGTTACAGGTGCTGGGTCATGCTGCTGCTAATAAGTTACTCTGCTGCACAATTAGGAGGATCTGCGCGGTCTTCCTTTTGCAGCGAGGACATGGTTTTCCAGGCGGAAGGCAGTCCGAAAAGGGCTTACTTGACGCACCACAAAAATGGGGAACGGATGGCCAGGAGAGGGAGGGGTGTGTGGAGAGGACCTCGAGGGAGGCCTCACTCATGGGGGTCCCATCCAGGTGCAGCACCTGCAGGACCCCCAAGTGCTACAAGGCTGAAACATCTGTAAGCCGAGCGGGAGGGAAGGGAGGAGAGGGGCAGAGGTGAAGCAGCAGAACTGGAAAATGCCCCTCCTTTTCCACTCTGGGGGGCAGGGGACAGGAGGGGGGGAAGCCCTCCCTCCCGTCAGAAATATTAAAAATTAACTGGGTATTTTTGATTACAAAAGTTGTGAGTCAAGCGCTGAAATAGTTAGTTGGCCAAAGCCTGTTAGAGTTAGTGGCCTAAGGCTAGTGTTGTTCTGAGGAGTTGGCAGAAGCCTGTTAGAGTTAGTGGGCCAAAGCTGTTGTCATCCTGAGGAGTGTTAGGCAAACCTCAGTGTGAGAGAAACTTTGGTGAAAGAACCCCCAGGTTAAAGGCCTTGTGTGTAACGCTGTGTTTAAAGCTTTGTTCTGAGGAGAGTGAGTTGGCCGAAGCCTGTTAAGAGTCAGTGGGCCAAAGCTATTGTCATCCTGAGGAGTGTGAGGTAAACCTCAGTGTGAGAGAAACTTTGGTGAAAGAAGCCCCAGGTTTAAGGCCTTGTGTGTAAAGCTTCTATGTGAAGCTCCTGTGTAATTTTGACGCGAGAGCGAAGCTGTTTATCTGTATGAGGAAGAAGCCCAGAATGGAAGCAAAGAAGGAAGTATAAAGGACGTTACTTGTGTTGTGGAGACCTTGTAATTGTAAAAAGTGCTTCCGATGGGAGAGATCACATTGGTTTGTGTGTTTTGGGTCTTTTTATCACTTTGGGTTACTATGCTGGTACAGCTGTACCAGAAGCTCCCACTTTATTTGCCTTGTATTAAGTATTTGTTTGCAGCCCAAGGCTTGGGATTCTGCAGAAGGGTGGCTTCCTGTTAAAGTTTGCAGTTATAGGGCAGGCCCCCTGTCCATCATCGTTAAGTTTGGTTCCGCCCCCTGTTCAGGACAATTGAGAAGGGAAGGGAGCCATTTTCAGTCAGTCTCAGCAAAGAAAGTCAATGTACAGGACGTGTACAGACTTTCTCCTGTACAAAGGCTTCAACCCTTAAGACCTCCCGGGGGAGAACAGTCTTAAGAGCAAAAGGATTCCCAAAGATTCCCAGGGAAACAGCCCTAAAGTTCTGAGGAATTTCGGAGGGAAAAACAGCTTTGAATATCTAAGAACTCCAGCTGAAGTGACTCCAGGCCTACTGGTAGGTCCACTCGGTTTTGAGACACAGTTCAGCCTGGTAGTGGATCCACGTCAGTTAGGTTTAGGTTCACAGTCAGCCTGGGAGGAGTTTGGAAAGGGATTTTCCTTTAGAGTAAAGCAACACTTAGAAGCCACCAGTTGCACAAAGGCCTGGAAGCATTTGTTTATCCTTTTGAAGACAAAGGAAGTTTCTGTTGATTGTTCACCAATAAAAGACTTTCACGAGTCCTCTAAAGACTGTTTATGGTGAAAATCCTTACGAATTTCTCTTCGGGCCCCCTGGCTTCCCGCTGGACTAAAGTTATATGTCCTGTTTTAAAAGCAATTCGTTTCAAGCCCAGCACGCGACAGAACAGTTACTGGTCCTGGGTCACGCTGCTGCTAATAAGTTACTCTGCTGCACAATTATGAGGATCTGCGCGGTCTTCCTTTCGCAGCGAGGACGTGGGTTTCCAGGCGGAAGGCAGTCCGAAAAGAGCTTGTGTGATGCACCACAAAAATGGGGATGGCGAGGTGGAGCCTGTCTTGCATTTTTATTGGGAAAGATTAAGGCACACACCACAAGCAGGCATCAGGGGCACCCCGCCCCCTATTCGACCTCTCCCTCCTTCCGCCCCCCATTATGCCTCTCAAGCCCCTCAGAGAATGGGGCTCCTTCTAAAGCTCCTGCACGAGGACACCAGGCAGACCCAGCAGGAAGGGTGCCTCCTCCGCACGGCAGAAGGACACCTCCCAAGCTGGGACCCATTCTTTGGCAGCGAGCGAAGCAGCCCCCAGGAAGCCGTTTTCCGGGGGTCTATCCGGGCCCTTCTTCCTCTTCGGAGAGCTCCTCGGGGGCCAAGGGGCGCAGGTGGCTGGCCCGGACGCTGACCAGGGAGGGGCAGGAGGCTTGGAGGGCGGCCACTCCAACGGCGGTCACTCCGGAGCCGTCCAGGTTCAGCTGGACCAGGGTCAGCTGGCGGAGGAAGCGCAGGCCTGGGGGGGGGCAAGGAGGGGTTAAGGGGGGACTGTGTGAGAATCACGGGAGTGGGGGTAGCAGCATCCCCTCCTGCCCAAAGAGGTGGCGGTCTGCCTTCAGAAGCAGATGGCAGCAGTCATCTTGCCCCCCCCCCCCGAGTGCCACGACCTGCATCAACGTTTACCGCCGCGCCACATCCGCACCCATTCCTTTCCCCGCTTACCTCGGTCAGAGAGGCGCGTCCGGCTGAGGTTGACCTTGAGGAGGTGTTTGCAGTGGGCCAGGCCCCTCCTGGCCACCGAGTCTCCCACCAGCGTACTAGCCAGGCTCAGCACCTGCAGAGGGAGGGGACACAGGAGCAGCTACCTTTATGTGGTCGCCAAGTACCCCCTACCCACCCACCCCCCAAGCCAGACCCCAGGGAGCCGCCCTACCTGCAGGTGGGGAAGGCGGATGATGCAGCGTGCCACCCCTGCGCTGGAGACCTTCAGCCGGTCCAGGGCCAGCTCCTCCAGGCCGGAGAGGGCCCCCACCTGCCTCAGGCCCACGTCGGTCACCTGCGTGTTGCAGAGAGAGAGGCGCCGCAACCTGGAGGCCGGGGCAAGTGGTCACTGGGGGCAAGTGGTCCCAGAGAAAGGGGAAAGGCACCCCCCTCCCAACCACCACATGCCCTCTGCTCCAGGGCAACAAGGGCCTTCAAGCACCCATGCAATGAACACACAGGGATTTTTGGAGCTATGGCCCAAAACATCCAGGGGAAGGGTAAGCCCCTTCCTTTCCTCAGCCAGGCAGCCACCTTGCTTAGTAGCTGTCAGTCTGAGGTAAACCTCAATGGGAGAAAGGTCTCAGTCTGTGAGAAGGCCTCATAGTGTGAGGTAGGCCTTAGTCTGTGAGAGAAGCCTCTGTGTGAGGTATTTATTTATTTATTTTATTTACTGCATTTGTTGACCGCCGTTCTCAGCTCTAGGGTGTTCTCAGCTCTAGGTAGGCCTTAGTCTGCCAGGCAGCCATGTTGTCTCCACTGACTAGTCTGTGAGAGAAGCCTCTGTGTGAGTAGGCCTTAGTCTGCCAGGCAGCCATGTTGTCTCCACTGACTAGTCTGTGAGAGAAGCCTCTGTGTGAGGTAGGCCTTAGTCTGCCAGGCAGCCATGTTGTCTTCACTGACTAGTCTGTGAGAGAAGCCTCTGTGTGAGTAGGCCTTAGTCTGCCAGGCAGCCACGTTGTCTCCAACTAGTCTGTGAGAGAAGCCTCTGTGTGAGGTAGGCCTTAGTCTGCCAGGCAGCCATGTTGTCTCCACCTACTAGTCTGTGAAAGAAGCCTCTGTGTGAGGTAAGCCTTAGTCTGCCAGGCAACCATGTGCATCTCCACTGACTCTGCCAAAGTTTGGGAACCAGTCCCCCAGCTGGGCCCCCGAATGGAAGGGAGGACTGGCCAAAGGAATGTCAGAAATACTAAAAATTATCTAGGTTTTTAAATTACAAAAATGTGAGTCAAGCACTGAAAGGGTTTAAATGGATGCAATGACTCAGCAAAAGCTGCAGTTTAATACAAGGAGGTGTGTTTGTAGCTTAGTACCAGTCAGTCTGAGGTAAACCTCAGTGGGAGAAAGGTCACTGTGAAAAGGCCTCACAATGTGAAGTAGGCTCACTCTGTGAGAGAAGCCTCTGTGTGAGGTAGGTCTTAGTCTGCCAGGCAGCCATGTTGTCTCAACTGACTCTCTGCCAAAGTTTGAGAACCAAGCCCCCCAGCTGGGCCGCCGAGTGGAAGGGAAGACTGGCCGAAGGAATGTCAGAAATATTAAAAACTAACTAGGTATTTATAATTACAAAAATATGAGTCAAGTTATGAAAGAGTTAAATGGATGCAATGACTCAGCAAAAGCTGCAGTTCAATATAAGCAGGTGTGCCTGTAGCTTAGTAGCCATCAGTCTGAGATAAACCTCAGTGGGGGAAAAGTCTCAGTCTGTGAGAAGGCCTCACAGTGCGAGGTAGGCATTATGGGATTGGACTTGATGGCCCACCAAGTCTCTTCCAACTCTAGGATTCTATACAAAGCTGCAGTTCTACATAAGCAGGTATGCCTGTAGCTTAGTAGTTGTCAGTCTGAGGTAAACCTCAGTGTGAGAAGCTTTACTCTGTGAGAGAAGTCTCTGTGTGAGGTAGGCCTTAGTCTGCCAGGCAGCCATGTTGTCTCCATTGACCCTCTGTCAAAGTTTGAGAACCAAGTCCCCCAGCTGGGCCCCCGAGTGGAAGGGAGGACTGGCTGAAGGAATATTAAAAACTAACTAGGTATTTTTAATTACAAATATATGAGTCAGGCACTGAAAGGGTTAAATGGATGCAATGACTCTGCAAAAGCTGCAGTTCAACATAAGCAGGTGTGGCTGTAGCTTAGTAGCCATGAGTCTGAGGTAAACCTCAGTGGGAGAAAGGTCTCAGTCTGTGAAAAGGCCTCACAGTGTGAAGTAGGCTCACTCTGTGAGAGAAGCCTCTGTGTGAGGTAGGCTTAGTCTGCCAGGCAGCCATGTTTTCTCCACTGACCGTCTGCCAAAGTTTCAGAACCAAGCCACCCAGCTGGGCCTCCAAGTGGGAGGATTGGCCTAAAGAAGGCCTGAGTGACCGGCCTGAGTGCAGAGGCACGATCCCGCATAGCAGGCATTACTGGGCTACAACTCCCAGTGTGTTTCTCCATAGCCCTACTAGTTAATTGGGATGATGGGAGATGAGCACCTTGGTGTCCCTTGCCCCCCCCCCCCCCACACACATGCCAGGGCCCCTGCGCTCCCCACTGCCCCTCACCTGATCATCTGGGGCAGATGCTGGAGCCCTGCGTCAGAGATGTGGGCATAGTCCGTGAGGTCCAGCTCCAGGAGGCCAGAGAGGCGGCAGAGGGCAGCCATCCCATTGTCTGTGACGGTGTGCCGCGAGGGCAGCGCGAGGTGCGCCAGGGGAAGACCTGCAGCCGGGAAGGTGGGGGGGGGGGGTAAGCAGGGAAGAGGTACCCACCAGTTAGGATGGTCATTACGTCAGCGCAGTCTTGCTCCTGGGGGTGATGAGGTCCACAGAGCTGAAGGGGCTCTTACGTGGGCCATAGTCCCCTCCTCTTCTACTACCCTGGAGAGTCATGGACAAATGTGTGTGTGTATGTGGTGGTGGAAGTTGGGAGGGGACAGCCATCATGACTCCATCAAGGACTGGTTCCCCTCACAGGACTGTTGCCAGTGGGCAGGGACCCAGGGGTCATCTAGTCCACCTCCCGCACTCTGTGGATGAAGCCAGAGCCAAATCTTGGGTGGTTCTGGATCTCCAAAAGGGCAGCCATTTGCATTTAAGAGCAGTCCACCTCTCCAGCCAGCCCTTGTCCAGGTGAGGCTTTGGGCACAATTCTGGTGACCGGTGTGACCCAGCCGTCCCTCTACCTGTGCCGCTTGGAAACAGGCCTCTCCCCCCACTCTGAAAGGCCTGGGGAGACTCTCCCTGCTGGACACCTCAAAGTGAGAGGGTCCTCAGTGTGAGAGAGCCCTCAGTGTGAGAAGCCCTCAGTGGGAGAAAGGCCTCAATGTGAGGTAGGCCTCAGTGTTAGTTTGCCTTACAGTGAGAGCTCCTCAGTGTGAGAAAGCCCTCAGTGTGAAAAGTCCTCAGTGGGAGAAAGGCCTCAATGTGAGGTAGGCCTCAGTGTTAGTTTGCCTCAGAGTGAGAGGGTCCTCAGTGTGAAAGAGTCCTCAATGTGAGAAGCCTCAGTGGGAGAAAGGCCTCATTGTGAGGTAGGCCTCAGTGTTAGTTTGCCTCAGAGTGAAAGGGTCCTCAGTGTGAGAGAGCCCTCAGTGTGAGAAGCCCTCATGAGAAAGGCCTCAATGCGAGGTAGGCCTCAGTGTTAGTTTATCTCAGAGTGAGAGGGTCCTCAGTGTGAGAGAGCCTTCAGTGGGAGAAGCCCTCAGTGGGAGAAAAGCCTCAATGCAAGGTACACCTCAGGTTAGTAGGCCTCAGAGTGAGAGGTTCTCAGTGTGAGAGAGCCCTCAGTGTGAGAGGCCCTCAGTGAGAGAAAGGCCTCAATGTGAGGTAGGCCTCAGTGTTAGTTTGCCTTAGAGTGAGAGGTCCTCAGTGTGAGAGAGCCCTCAGTGTGAGAAGCCCTCAGTGGAAGAATAGCCTCAATGCGAGGTAGGCCTCAGTGTTAGTTTGCCTCAGAGTGAGGGTCCTCAGTGTGAGAGAGCCTTCAGTGGGAGAAGCCCTCAGTGGGAGAAAAGCCTCAGTGTGAGGTAGGCCTCAGTATTAGTTTGCCTCAGAGTGAGAGACTCCTCAGTGTGAGAGAGCCTTCAGGGTGAGAAGCCCTCAGTGGGAGAAAGGCCTCAATGCGAGGTAGGCCTCAGTGTTAGTTTGCCTCAGAGTGAGAGGGTGCTCAGTGTGAGAGAGCCCTCAATGGGAGAAAGGCCTCAATGTGAGGCAGGCCTCAGTGTTAGTTTGCCTCAGAGTGAGAGGGTCCTCAGTGTGAGAGAGCCCTCAGTGTGAGAAGCCCTCAGTTGCAGAAAGGCCTCAATGTGAGGTAGGCCTCAGTTTGATTAGGTCTGGTGTGAGAAGCTTCAGTGAGAAAGCACTGGTGTGAAGGCTGCTGTGTATAAAAAGCTACTGTGTGAAGTTCCTGTGCAACTTCAGTGTGAGAGGAGGCTCTGTGAGAGCCTGTTTATCTGCATAAGAAAGCAGCCCAGCATGGAAGCAAAGAAGGAAGTGTTACGGAAACCTTGTTCTTGTAAATAGTGCAACCACATTGTTTTGCTACAAGGAAAAGCCTCCAAAGGAAGAGATCACATTGGTCTGTGTGTTTGTGTTCTTTTTCTCACTTTGGGCTCCTGGCGCTGGGTCATGCTGCTGCTTATAAGTTACTCCACTGTGCATTTGTGAGGAGGGTCTTTGGTTAATAAGCCCACTTGCCCCAACAATGTCTCCACTCGCAAGATGCCCCAAGGTCCCCCCACACCACTCCATGACCTGGTACCTGAGATGAGCTCAAGGGCCCGGTTGCCGTCCACCGACTGGACTCCATGGAGGGTCAGGCTGGAGAGGGAGGGGTGTGTGGAGAGGGCCCCGAGGGAGGCCTCGCTCACGGGGGTCCCGTCCAGATGCAGCGCCTGCAGGGCCCCCAAGTGCCGCAAGGCTGAAACATCCGTGATCTGGGTAGGAGGGAAGGGAGGAGAGGGGCAGAGGTGAAGCAGCAGAACTGGAAAAGGTCCCTCCTTTTCTGCTTGGGGGGGGGGCAATGAGGGGCCCCTCCCTCCTGTCAGAAATATTAAAAAATTTCAATTATAAAAATTGTGAGTAAAGTACTGAAATAGTTAGTAGGCCGAAGCCTGTTAGAGTCAGTGGCCTAAAGCTAGTGTTGTTCTGAGGAGAGTGAGTTGGCCGAAGCCTATTAAGAGTCAGTGGGCCAAAGCTATTGTCATCCTGAGGAGTGTGAGGTAAACCTCAGTGTGAGAGAAAC